CTTCTGTTTCATAAATTAAAACCACTTGAATTTACTACCTTTCCTCACCTGCTCACCTCCCTCCACCTCTTATGTCCTCACCTCTTATGGCTGATGAGATGGAACATATAAATCATCAGTGACAAATTTCCCAGGGATTTTGTCCTTGTACATAGGCAAAGAGTGAGCAAATGTTTGCCTTGTACATAGAAAAATGCAACACAAGAAATTATGAGATAATCTCCATGGAAACTTCTGTGGAGCTTTAATTAATTGAAAGTTTCATATTATGATATATTGCCAGTCAGAATTTGGGTTTCTGTCCCAAAAAAAGAGAGCACTGCAGTTTCAGCTATAGAAGTAAATGGACAGCTTGTTTGGTCCTGATTTCACCCTACTTATCTCAAGTAATATTATTATGAAATTGTTTTAAAATGCTGTTGTTTGCCTGGACTTTGATGGTAGCTTCATAATGTGACACTTTCCTTTGGAAAGCAATAGTGTGGTATATGAATCTTTTCAGTACATAGGAAAAGATCTGAATATAAATAATTAAAAATATTACATCCTATTTCAGGGTTTTTTTCCTGGCCAAAATTAAGAGTCAAATCTCTTACATCATTATACGATGTGAAGAGCAAATAAGTAGGTCCTGCAAATTGGACTGTGCAGACTGGGCTTTTCCATGTTTAGCATGGCTGATGAGCAGTCGCTGTGGAAGGACTCAGTCCTTTTAGCATTTGGATGCAGTGCTGACAAATAAATTGACACATAACACCAGACACATTCAGTCATCACCTAAACTGCTGAAGCATAGAGTGTCCTTTTCATCACAGCCTCTGGGTCATTCTGTTGAGTCAAAACTGATGCCTTGACTCATCAGTGAAGTTTCTCTCCTTGTCAAGACAGTATTTTGGTTTATGACTTCATCTAAATAGTTAAATCATTCTAAATGCAGACAGTGGGATCAGGTAATTCTGAATCAGGGATTCTTAAGCAGGTAAGGGCTACTAGCTTAATTCTTCAGCTAGTGGGACCCACTGATCGTACAATTGTGCTGATCTGTGGTTCAGTGCTGAATTCTCAGATGTGAGGATTTCTAAGTGAATAAGTATCACAGCTTTCTGAGCACAGCAGAATCACAGGGCATCAACAAATGGGTGTTTAAATAAAACCCAACAAAGGGGAGACTGCTGAGAGATCTGTGTCTACCAATTCAGCCCAGGAACTTTGAAAGGTCAGTCACATTCCATGCAAGTGCCTTTGCAGTTAGGGAGTTCCCAGTGGTGTTTGGTTTGACAAGCTGAAATATTACAACTAATTTGCAAAAACATTGCCAGTTTCATTACATTTTAATTACTGATGGTCCCAAATGCCTGATTTTTCAACTACCCGTGACTGCAGATATAAATTAGTCTTTAAATAGCATTACCCGTCCAGTAGCTTCCAGTGCTTTCTTGTCCTGCGAGGCAAATCCTGTCAGCATTTTAGCCTGCACAGCTCCAGATAAGGCCAAAAATGGCAGGAAACACAGTATAACTAAACTCAGTTTCCAGCTGAAGTAGAAAGCAATGATCATAGCCACTCCAATGTTAGTAAAGGAATTGACAATCATTCCTATCTGCGATCCAGTTGCCTTTGAAGAAAAGAAACAGGGATGACTGACTTGTACTCCAATAGTAACTGCATCAAACTTTTAATAAATTTTCCTATAAAACTTGAGAAAACTATATATTAAAATACCATAAGGCACCATCAGCTGCTGACTGCATTGGAATTGAGCCAGTTTGGATATGCTGCTTCCAGTTAGCTGTAGCAAGAGGAAGACTGCAAACGTCCAATATTCCTTTCACTCACCAAATTTTTCATTGAGGAATATTTGTATTTAAATAATAAACAGAACACTTGGCTGTTAACAACAAAGCCTCAGCTGTGCTAAAATCAGTAAGAAGCATCACCAAGAAAGCATGAAACAATGTTGCATTTCTGCCTGTCTCTTTATTAAGGAAAAATTTTAAATATGGCTTTGACATCACCTTTATTGAATGCATTCCTCTTCTCCTTATGTACTTCAAGTACACTGTTCTTTTTAATAAGCTTGACTTATTTACTCAGAAGTTATTTCCTTTCATAGCAGTAGATAGGAACTATGTTGCTATGTATTAGAATAAAAATGTACATTTGATATCCTTGATGATTTTCAGTCAAATTCAGTTGCAGGATATGAACTTGCAGCACAAAATAAACATCATGTACTTCTCCTCTGAGCTGCAGCAACAGGGCAAGGTGCCTTGTGCCTGGCCACAGTAGCAGGTACACCTCCCAACTCTGCAGAAACTACAAAAAGGAGCATCCATAGGGCTGCTCTTCTGGACCCTGCAGCTCTAATGCCCTACACACATTCCAGAGTTCACTTTCTGACTCCTGGTGCAAATGTAGACATCTTCAGACCCTGGAGGCTTGTGTGCACCTTCTCACCTTCAGCTAACTGTGCAATGGCAGCAGCTGGCTAAGCTCTTGCGTTAGGCAGTGAAAGGTGGAGGGCACTGCTGCTCAGGTAGCTCTGTTCCTGTCCCCCTGGCCCTGAGCTGTGGCTGGAATGGCTGTGCCCCACTGTCTGCATGGGCTTCAAACAAAGGTGTCCCTTAGGAGGCTATTAAATGGTTCAGTCAGTGTTTAAAAGTTTATTTATTTCAATTAAAATATGCCCTATAAGTGCCTCTAAGGTTTGCAGCTGCTTTCTCTGATTCTGTAGAAATTCCTAAAAAAGGGGTTTTGGAAATGTTTCCTCTAATTTTTTTTATAAATTATTAAACCATCCATTAGCTGTTCTTAAAACTAACCTACCGTCTTCAATCAAGCTGAAACAGGACAATTTTTGTAACAAAGAAATCTGCTTGTCTCCTTCTTTGTTTCTTGAAAATTGCTTGCAAAGGGTCAATTCTGATAGGTAATAATTGTAACTCAGAATGATTTAACCCTCACCCACTACAGAGCTCAATAAATGAAGTTAGTGTTTCACTTTCTCTAACACTGAAACTGGCTGCAGAGTTCCTGGCTGGAGCACTAGCCAGTAGTGCAAACTGTTTTTTCACATGGGCCGTCAGTTTAACTCAAAACTGCCACAACGTGGAAAATACCGTGCTGAAAACTGAAAAATATTATTAGTGATGAATGTGATTAAAATCCTAGCTTGACATACTTTTGAAATAAACACTTTAGCATTATGGCATAAAACTAATTGATCTCCAGAACAAAAAAAAAAGTAATCTTTTGCACTTGGTGCTCCTTCCTGTTCCAGTGATGGTTGGTAGTTTATTGATTTTTGTGTTCTTGTTCTAGCAGTACAGGCAGGAATAACAGGCAGTAAATTGTGACCCTATTTTTGCCTTTAGGAAATACCATTATATTAGTTCCAGGTCGACAATCTTATAAATAGAAACAGCTTAATTGGCTGACCAAGGACTGATCTACATTGCCCTTGCTGGTTGCACACTAGAGAGTTTCTGTGGCTATGTGCCAAAATAGGCCTTCAATCAGTGCTTATAGTAACAATAGTAAATAGTTAAACAATAGCAAATAGCAGAATAAATTACATAACATAAAATAGCAGAATAGTTAAACAATAGTAAATAGCAGAATAGTAAAACAATTCTTGAGCTGTCAAGTCTTACCCCTTGGACCTGTGAGGCATCTGTTGCAAGTCTTGTAGTCAAAGCACCAGGGCTGTTCTTCCTGTCATCAAACCAACCAATGTCTTGCCCTAGCATAGCCTGGAAACCAATTTTCCTTAACCGTCTTGTAAGCAGCTCACCAGACTTGGCAAAGGTGTATCCCTGGGGTGCATGAGAATAAATACAAACATTCTCCAGAAATAGATACCCACAGAGTAAGGGTTCAAACCCCAAATTTATGCATATTGGATTGCTATTACCTGTAGAAACTGTGTGAAAAATGAAAGAACTCCGACTAAGACAAAGAGCACGCAGACACCATTGATCTGGACTTTTTGTTTTTCTTCATCAAGAATGGAGAAGGTCTTTGGGGAAAAAAAAGGTGGCATTGTATTAGAAATGTCAGTTTTGCTATGTGTGAAGTTTGTTTTTGACTCCCTTTTGCCAAGTGCAGAAGCCCACTCTAGAACCAAAGCCAGAACAGGACCTCCCCCTCACCCCCTGCAAAGGCCTTATTTTTTCCTAAGGTGAGCCTGGGTTAAAACATATTGGGTTGTACTCCTGTTAACCAACAAGTTTATTATTCTGAGTGTCTGCACACACTGCTTTTACTTGTGGCCCATCCCTAGTTGTAATTAACCAATTAACTCCACTCTAAACAGCAATAACCAGGGAATAGCAATGAAATAAATAGCATAGCAACAAAGCAACAGCACAGCAGCACCTTACCTCCTCTCTGGTCTATGCTCATTGCAGCTTTATTGGGCTGTACAAAATAAAGTCTGTGTAAATAATTGTACCCTAGCATGACTCCCTGCACAACACTAACAGGAGCTGTAATTGCCATAGGTAGGCTCCAAGAGGAACTTAACTGTCTGTTACTAAAGGAGTGTGGATACAAGACATTCACTTACTGTTGGGCACTTGAGAAAAGTCATTAGTGCTTAAAGCAGAGCCCCTTCACCCCATTCAGCACCAGTGTCCATAGTATTGTCCTCTCATTCGTAATATCTGGTCTTTTTCAACAGCTGCCAATGTTACTAGCTGGTGCTGAAGTAGTGGTCCAAATGTAAGCAGCCATCCTTTAACAATTCCTTTCAGTCAGAGCAGTTACTATGAATGTCAGTTTACCTATCTGAAGTTGTTAAACTATTTCTGCTATTCTCTTATCTACTCTTTCCAGGTGTAGGTCACATCTGTACTTATCCACTAACCTTAAATTAATTTGCATTGGATTTGATAGGTAAAAATTACTATAAATTGACTAATCTCTCAATCTGTTATCTGTAAGGTATAATTCAAAAAGAACTTATGCATTTGACTTTTGCTTATATCAAAACCAGCCTAAAATCTTCTAGGTAAGAATTCAACAGTAGAAGGAGATGGAATTTTCATTCCAGCTCCAAAATATAAAAATCACATGAAAATAAACCTAAGTACTAGTCTTGTAATTTACAGTTCAAAGTGAACTATGCATCAAAGTAACAGAGAGGAATTAGAGCATGAATTTGAGAAAAGAAATAGCTGTTCTCTAGTGGGAATTCCACTTAAAGTATTTTTTCTTTGTACATTGGTACCTTGGCAACAAAATAAATCCTGCTAAATCCAAAGTGGTAACATCAAAACAACCCTTAGTGTTTCAAACTAAGAGCTGTTCCAATGCTGTGCTGTCCATTTTCCATACTCTGAGACAATTCCACAGGGAGAAACAAAGCATAAGTAAGAAGAAACTACTAGAAATTTGTTCAAAAGGTACATATCCAGTATTATCCAGTACTTCATTGACTTCTGGGGATTCATTTCTGAAAATGTTCAGGGCAGACTTTGCTAAATTTATCCTTTTACTTCATAGCTGTGGAGACTTTTAACCCTCACTGCTTCAGCATATTTGTCCCACAGTACAAGCCCACGTGTCTGACACAACAACATTGCAGATACTCAGACAGCTTGGAAAGCAGATGCATATTCCATCTGCCTGACTGCCTTGACACCAGGCAGAAATATTTTAAATTTGTGAATAACGAAACACAGATGTTGGATTTTGCTCATATTCATTATGGCTTGCTTTTTCTTGCAGCTTCTCTCTTTTGATGGATTGAGACCTTCAAGAGAAGAAATTCACCCTTGGCAATGAAGGTATTTAGCATCTTGCAGGATGACATCAGCCCCAGACCTCTCAGTGTCTAGAAGACCTCTCTCAAAAGGAATCAAAGGTTAGATTCATTGCAGAATGCATATAGCAGTGTCCCACCTGGTGTCTAGTGAAAGCTACAGTCCTTGGCATGAGGTCTAGATACTCAAAAAGTTGTTTGGAGGTAGCACACCTATGGCTACTAAAAGGCCAAGCATGTTGGCCAGGAGCTACTAAGTGGATCAACAGGGACTGGAACGTCTTTTGCTCTGCCCCTTCCAGGATCTTAGCTATCAAATGTCAGACTGCAAGGAAATGTGATTCAAAGTCCTGAGCAACTTCCCAAAGAGAAATGTCTAGGCCAAAACAACTCCCCCCCAAAAAACATATATGTCAATCTTTCTTTTGACAGATTGCTGGCACTGCTCGTAGAAGCATTTTATCAACACTTTTCTATCCATAGCTCAGATACTGGGGGATTCATTCATTCACTCACTCTTT